GGGGGGGCGGGGGGGGGGGGGGGGGGGGGTTCTCGGGGGGGGGGGGGGGGGGACCAGGGATGTTGGGTGGGGTCGCTGGCGCTGCATTATGCTGCGCGGCTCTGAGTCAGGCGCTAACAGGGGGGGCAGGTGCGGCAGGCATCGTTTTAGCACTGCGTGCCAGGGACAGAAATACCCCCCCACACACCCCTCACCACCCCCACCCCCGTCTTTGATTCAGATCCCCTTCAGTTGGATTCGAATACGCGCAAAATGGGATATGCGTCACCGCAAACGCAAACGGACCCCCACATACTGACCAAAATGCGCACAAAAAACGACTGTTCTGACAGCCACAGATTAAAAAATGACTAAAAAATGTCATCCCCCCAGTTGGACAACTTGGTTATAATGAAGAAGTGACTTGGAGGGGAGTTTGGCCGCTCCCTCTGACAGCGCACAGCATCCTTTTGTGCCATGGGTGTCGCCGGTGCCTCTCAGCATCCAGCGGCCACTGGAAATGGAGGAGGTGGGGAGGGGGGGGGGGGGGGGGGGGGGCAAAAAAAAAAAAAAAACTCACCGATTGCGGTCTTGGCCATTTTTTCTGAACTGGTGATGCTGGCCGGAGGAGAGCTGCTGGACGCGGTGGGCGCAGGGCGAAGGTGCTGCTGGTAAGGCACTGAGTCAGCAGAGACGGGACTGCCGGGGCGCCTGCTGGTCTGTTATAGGCTGCGTCAAAGCAGCGGGAGAGGAAGGGCACGGTACCGGAAGTGGAAAGACTGTACCTTCACAATAAGACGTCCTTTCGCTCAGAATCAGAATCAGAATCAGGATCAGAATAGGGTTAATTGCCAATTAGGTTTTTTACACTTACAGGGAATTTGCCTTGGTGTTTGGTGCACAACACTTCTATGAGAAGCAAGGAGATACAATGTAGAAATAAAAATATAGAACAGAAAATATAAAACTAAAAAGTACAATCTTTAAAAATATAGATGTGATAATAGAAATATGGATATATATACTCAACAAATGATTCAAATGGTCAAATAGTAGCAAAGAGTTTAATTTGTTTTGACATATTCAACTTACATATTCAAGGGTAATAATAAGGATCATTAGCCTTATTTCCCTACAATATTTTGTTATATTGTATTACTTATGAAAAATGATAATCAGGCTTAGTGTTATCGTTATGATCATCGTCATCATTGGCTTGAAATCATTTGAACTGAGATGATTAAATGGGCCTTTAGAATAAGAGACATGCTGGAATAAAACGAGACATTCTGTGTGAAATCAGTTTATCAGCTGAAGCTAAACCCAAACAAATGAGTAAACTTGTAAGTGTCCTCTGTTTAAAGATGACATTTACAAACTTAAATGAGGTATTAGTTGCCGTAATAAATAATTGACAATACAAATGATTAAATAAATGAAGCTGTTTAAGAAAATAAAGATAATTATTTAAAGTTTAATAGGAAAATGCAAAAAGTGTAAATGAGCGTATAAAGAATATGTAGAGACATAAAAAGAAAACAGTTCTTCTTTCTTAATAGTCTCACAAGATACCATAGAGGAATTGACATTTTCATGTTTTGACGTATTTGTTTACATATATTTAAGCAGGCTTATTCAAGCATTCTTTTTTACTTCTTACTTTTCTCCTTTTGCTGTCTTAATCAAACATCATAGGGAGGAGAAATCAACTGGCAGCCTTCACCAAGATTATTAAAGTGATTAGTCATTCTATTTTTTGGGTTGGGAAGTAATGGGTAAAAGTTTATGTGAGTTTAAGATGCTGAATGATAGCAACTTCTCTATATCTTAGCAATATAAAAAACAACTGGAACACAAAAGAGCAATGGAGGAAAGACACAAAGGACAACAAATACTACAGTCCCATGCCAATAAAACATACCATGCTTACTCATCCATAAGAATAAGCTAATGTTTCTCCTCTATTTTTCCCATCAAGTGCTATGTTTTTGTATATTATCCTGTTATCATCATAAGCTTTTTCACCACTGTTTACATTGACGGTCGGGATTTTTTGGAGCAAACAACCCAGCAAACAACGTCACACCTCATGGCCTCCCAGACCTGAAGGTTAATGACCGCTACATGCTGTAATTTTGAAACCAATTGCAGGAAATGTCAATGTGTGATGTAGCCGGTTTGACACTCAGCCAGTAATAATCTCTAGATGGCTGTAATGCATTCTACCACACTCCCCTCTCTCCTCTCCAGCCAAAGAGCTGACAAGCCTAATGTTCTCTTGTATTTCAGAGCTCAGGCCCTGCTGTGACAACTGGCTGTGGGTGTTTCCTTCTTTGTTTGAGAGGTGATGAGCAGGTGCAGAAAACCCTCAGGAAGGTGGGGGAAAAAAAAGCTTCAAAGTAAAATCTGTTGTCTTAATTATGTTATAATACTTCATTATAAATAAATAGGGAATTTCCCCCTTATATACATGTGCATTATTTGAGTTTGATGTACTTATATGCAATGGGGTAGGATGGACTGTTTCCCTGTTTACAAAAAAACGGACAAATGACAGTACTTATCACCTTTGTCCACAATAAACAAATAAATGGATGAAATCTTAAAAAATACAAATAAAAACGGAGACAAAAAGAAAAAACGGGCACACCACAAGATGGCAGCAAATCTTAAACATAGAAGATGAGAGTGCGTTTTGAGAGGATGAACTATTTTGCAAATGTAGAATTGAATAGTCTCAAATATTAAATACATCCATTGCAGAGCCTGCAGCTGATGTATCAGTTGTCATTTACTGAATACTTTTTTGCATTTTATAGCAAACCAAACTTCTGCCCAATATTTTCAAGTCCAACCTAAAACGGCAAAGTCCTTATCAAAAAGCTTCTGTTTGCGTTGATAACAAACCCGTAAAGTCTATTTAAAGTGGACGAGCGGGGGGCCAATGAATGGCCACTGATTAACTACACCGTTATCTTTTCTTTTTTTTGTAGAAAGCTACAGCTAAAAAAACGAACAGAAAACCAAACTGTAGTTACCCCACCATTTGCATTTTATTTCCCCTTTCTGCCGTTTAGGCTCACGCGACTGCACGCCGTTCGTTGCTATAGTAACTGTCTCAGTAGGGTTGGTCAAACTATGCTCGGATAAACATGTTACTTACAGGTGGTTAATTTCTGTGAAGGAAATGTAGAAAAACAAACAGAACACTCCTCTCTCAGGTCGGCGCACACCTGTGTTCGTTTCCACGGCCCTATTTCACGTCAAAGTTGGCCCCTTTTTCCGTGTAACTGCTTGGTGTCAAGTGATAGAAGCCATTTGTATTAAGCATAAGGTAACGGTGCTTTATAGACGTTTTTTCCCCTTTATCATAGCATTCTGCTGCCTTGTTTCGAGCTCCTTGAGCTGCTCAGTGGGTGGTGCCAACCATCCCCTGGCGGTTAGTGATGAGGAGGAGCTATGGAGCAGATGTGAACTCTTAAACGTGTCGTTCAAGCTAAAGTTTGACACATCGTGGAAGCTGTGCACGTGCGGGGTAATTTTTTTATCCGTCGTGAAGGTGAGGCAAAGCGAGGTAATTACATGTTCTCCTTGTTTATTTTACTCACGTCTTCATGAACCTTTCTCGGGCTTTTTTTTTTTAATGTCGCCGGTTGTGAAGTTGTCTGTGAGGGAAACGTTTCCGCTGGAACTTCGCAAGATGTGGTGGCTCGCGCAGGCGTTAGCATGATGCGAGATGAACATCATGTATGAACATCAGAAACGGGCTAGCCGTGCTAGCTTCACGGTTAACGTAAAGCTGGCGCAGTGACAGCGTGTTTATCTGAGGAATGCTGCCCGGTTTTTGGCCAGTGAGTCAACGTTCGTGGAAAAACACCACCCCAATTGATGCCCAATTGTGCCTTTTTTTTCTTTTTTTTTTATGTGTACGAGCCCGGCGCTAGCGAGGCTATCTGCCTGTCTCGCGCTAGACATTTTACAGCACGAGGTAATCTGACGTGTGAACTGAGAAGCCGGAGCTCCTTGAATGGAATGGAATAATGTTAATGGGCAGGAAACGCCTCGCTTATTTGGTTAAAACGTGCTCGTGTCGACACGGAGACGGATCGTGATTGTTAAAGGCTTCAAGGTTTTCTGCCTCCACGTCGTGGAGCTCCATCTTTTGAGCCGTGTGACGGATGTTCGGGCAGATTGAAGTGCATATGCGTGTACTATTATCAAAAATGGTTATTTTATTACTTGGAGGGCCAAGAATAGAAGACAACTTTGACATGTCACTTCCTCAAATAACCAATTGCAGTAACACAGCCCTCTTTTGTATGAGAAGTGAAATTTGTTGCTTTTGTATGGTGTTAAGCTCCTGATATTTCAGTTTCTACCTTGTTCTGACAGCATCTTGTCCTGTTGTCTGGTTGTGGAAGTCTGGACCCACGTTTTTACACAGGGTAAAAGTTGTATCAATGCAGTGACAAAATGCTTCACCATATTTAATTATAGATGCAAAGCCTGATAAAGCCCATTTTGAAGTGTTTATATTGTTATAAAAGTTAGATAGATAAAGTTTGTGAATTAGTGTTTAAGTCAAGGATTTGGGGGTGGGGGCCCAGATGTCTCACCGATTTGTTAGTCTGAGCTCATAAGAATTTTTAGTTCTATAAATTTATATCGTATGTCACTCAGGTTTTACATTCGTGAAGACCTCATTTCTAAACATCCCTTTAGGCCTTGCAGATGTCCTTTCTATGCTGTCACATAAACTTTGATTCTGCTTTATTTCCATGGAGTTGCAGAGTCAACATTTATGTTGTAGTAATTCTACCACAGGTTTTATCAGTGATACATTCAACAAAAAAAGACCCTCACCACCAGTTACAGTAATTATTACAGATGTTTTTTTTACAATTCTATCTGCTCCACAGTTGTATCCTGAGGTTTGTGAACAGTGCAGGATGCAGGGCAGATGCTTTCATAATTTGTTGATGTAATTGGGAACACATGGTGTCTGTCATCGGCCTGTAGGTAACAGATTCATCAGCGTTAGTCTAATGTCTCAGTGCTGATGTCTTATCATGCCCAACATTAATCACCAGTTTTGATAAAGGGAGAATCCCATTTAGTGAGTTGCCCAGCTATACAAACTAAAACACGATCGTCTGGATCTTTCTTTTTGATTATATCAAAAGATTTTCTAATTGTTACATATATATTTCTATCTTTTCTTTTGCCCTTTTTTCTTGCCACTGTACCACGATTCACATCTCAAAAACATCTTAGGTTTAATCTCATTGGTGGTCACACTTAGTGTTGTTAAGGTCCCACATGTGTCACTAATTTACCTGACCACCCTAACTGAAAACGTAAAGCCCTTTTACCTGGGTGGCCAAATATTTTTGATTTGCTACATCGAAATATTATTGGTTCGCAGCTCTAGCCAAAGTGACTGGCGTCATTCATTATTCGGCAGCACCAACTCCACAAGTTTATGGTCACTCTAGTGTTCGTCCAGCATATTTGAATGACAATGGAGGCACAGAGGCAGATTAACAAGGACGTCCTCAATGCACTGATTAATGACATCTGAGCTACAGCCGATCTGTGAAAAGAGCTCGTGTTCGAGGGTTACGACTGCACTGTGAAACCCGAGGGCACATCAAATGCTGATTTTCCAGTTGAACAAAGATTATAATCTTTAGTCTTCCTTACCAATGCGGAGCCTGCATCTTGTTCCTTCATTTGCTGCTGTGTTTATGGACGGATACATTTTTCCTCCTTCTCGGTTAAAATAAAATAAATACATTTCAGCCCCCCAGTACAGGTGGACTCCCAGTCGAAAAGCTTAGCTTTAGCTTGTCCTCTGGCAGGTAGTGTGTGAACGTGTACAAAGTTAGTACTTCTTGCTGATTGCTATTCTAGTTTCTATTGTGGACACACACAGATGCATGCAGTATTTGCATAACCACAGTAAGGAGCTTTTTCTTCTCCTCCAATGCCTTTTTAAAGAAATCAATACTTCAACAAAGGGGTTATTTATTCATTTATACCATTTTAGTTTGGTTTTGATCTGTCTGTGTGGCTGCCTTTCCTCCTCTTAAGTCACACAGGCGGAGTCCTCACACATTGAGCCGTTGCCGCCTAGTTAGCTGAGTAATAACATCACTGTTGATCATAGTTGATCAAGTTCTGTATGCACACATGAGGCAAGATCATCTCAGCTCTTTTACTACCCTCCTATCTGTTACAGAGACCCATCAGAAGTTATCAGACTGTATCTCTTTTCAGCTATACTTTTTAAAGCGTTCTCTCTTTTTATTTTTTCACACAGATCACTCCCCCCCCCCCTCCCGGAGCAGCACACCTTGGATTCCATGGCTGTTTAAAACCTCGGCCTCCCTGGGATGTCCTACTTTTTCTTTTGTTAGCTCCAGTGTTGTCCCCTTTATTTGTGCCCCTTTTTTCTTAAACTCCCTTATTCCTTCACCGTCTCCTGTTTGCCCCGTTCGTCATTTTCCCCGTCTCTGGGAGTTCCTCAGGATGGTTGCCGACGTGGACTCGGCATCCGTGGGCAGCGGGATGCGCCTGAAGCAGGAGATTTCCCTCCTCCACGGGGTCTGTTTGATAGTGGGAAATATGATTGGTTCTGGCATCTTTGTCTCGCCAAAGGTAAGTCCTCTAAACCCGTTTCCCGGTCGGTCTGTGTCCGCTTCTGGTGATGATGACCCTCCGCTCTGATCTTTCTCTCTGCAGGGAGTTCTTATGTACACGGGCTCTTTCGGCCTGTCTCTGATAGTGTGGGCCATCGGAGGGGTATTTTCTGTGTTTGGAGCTTTATGTTACGCTGAGCTCGGAACAACGATCCGTAAATCCGGTGCCTCCTACGCCTACATTCTGGAAGCTTTCGGGGGCTTTTTAGCTTTCATTCGGTACGTAACCTTTGACTTTTGGCAAATTTCTTCAAAGTGTTTATGACATAAACTGCCCAAAATAGCAAACCAGGAATTCTTTGTTGTCTTTGGAAGTCTTGTTACAATAGTACACTGTGTAGCATGGGTGGACTTGTTTAAACTCCTGTCAGTAACAGTTTAATCTCACACTGAGAAGATAAGACGTCGGCAGCATGTTAAGTTTGGAATTCATTGGGATTTAAGTACAAATGCACCCGTTAATGCAGTAACATTTCTTTTTAGATTATGGACGTCCCTGATGATCGTAGAGCCGGCCTGTCAGGCGGTCATCGCTTTAACCTTCTCCAATTACATGGTCCAGCCCTTCTACCCCACCTGCACAGCCCCATACCACGCCGTCCGCCTCTTCGCTGCTGCCATCATATGTAAAGCCCTCCTTCCCGATGAAACCAAGCCCACTGCGCTTATATTTATAAAGCTGATCTAAGAGGGTTTGTCATGGACAGCTGCGTCACATTTGTGGTTTTGTAATGGCGCTCGCTATCACTGTGCTATGGCGACCAAAAGGTCTACACACAAATTAAACCACTCAAAATGAACTTACATTTTTAGTATGATTAAGCACCATTTAAAAATAAGTGAATCTGTGTCGTGTTTGTTTTTTTGTTTTTTAAACGGCTAATCAGTCTAAACTGAAAACCAGGCACTCATATATGGTCATTGGGTTATTTTTGTTGGGCCGACTGACTTAACTGCTGTGTTTATAGTGTACACTGTTCCTCAAACATCCAGCTTGCCTGTAACTGATCCCCCCTGGTTCCTCTGGAAGTAGACGTAGATTAAGAACTTAAACTTCTTCTTATGTAAAATGTTAACTCGAATTACCATGAGCTGCGCGACTAGAAAGTTTAAATCTGGGCGCTCTGTATCTGAACAGAAGACTCTGTGTGGGGAGCTTTGGGGATCAAAGCATTCCTCTTTGATTTAGTGTTTGCTCTCCACTTGAAAGGATATGTGTGAGAATACACTTCAGACCTGGTGATCTCTTAATGTAGCCTTAAAGCTACTTTTCTTTACAAATGGAATAATGTGACACCAAATCAAAGAACATAGGAATAAAAGATGTTTGCAGTTAAACCTGTTGGGTTTGTTGGGATTAGCCTAAGAGTAGATTGACAACATAACAGCATGGAAATTGTAGAGGATTACCGCAGTACACACTGTTCAGATCACTTTTTTTTGTTCTTGCTGAGTGTCTTTAACACGTTCCCTTGTTACCTTCTGTCTCCCTCATCCCGTTGCTCAGGTTTGCTGACTTGTGTCAACTGTATGAAAGTGAAATGGGGAGCGATTCTTCAGGTCATCTCCACCGTCGCAAAAGTCATCGCCCTCATCGTCATCATCATCACTGGCCTGGTTAAGCTGGGCCAAGGTATGGTGCCACCACTGTTAAACCACTGTTCTGTCCCAGTTCACATTGTGACAGCTGACGTCCGTCACTGGTTCACCCTGTGCTAAATCAGTATTTTAAAGCCAGGCTTTGGTATGATGTGCTGATTCTGATTAAACGGATGTATTTATTTATGCTTCTTCAGTGTAAGTTAAATGTTACCTTTTATTTACTGTAAACATACCCAAACAAGTACTTCTCCAACTGTAAATATTCAGACAAACAAGTAAATGGTTCAAACATACTTACAAAAAATGTTCATTGCTCCCAGTTGAGTTTTAAGACTTTGTCTTAAACGGTTTAAAATTTTCCTGATTCTGTCTAATGACAAAGGAATTAATATATTATTTGTTTGTATAGGTTTTGACCAGAACTTTGAGAACTCATTCAAAGACTCCAGACTGGATCCTGGTGACATGGCCTTGGCCCTCTACTCGGCTTTGTACTCCTATTCTGGATGGGATACACTCAACTTTATCACAGAGGAGATCAAAAACCCAGAGAGGTACAAAGTTTTTTTTTTTTTTTTTTTTTTTCTTTCTTTCTTTCGTCTTTGCATTTTTCATCTGTTCACACATCACCGGACATGTAACTGTGTTTTCCATAACTAATTCTGCCTAACGCTTTCATTTTGATAAAGCTGTGGAACAATTTGAAACATTTCTTTGGTAGGAACCTGCCCTTGTCCATCGCCATTTCCATGCCCATCGTCACGGTGATCTACATTTTGACTAACATAGCGTACTATGTGGTCATGGACGCGGACACGGTGCTCAACAGTGAAGCTGTCGCTGTGGTGAGTGCCAGAAGTTTCTACCTTCCAAACTCTACCCCATGAAGCTGTCCAAGCATAATGTGTGTTGGTGCCTGTACATGGACCCCGTAGGTTATCTTATTATCTTAATCGACGCCATCTGCTGAGCTTCATAAAAGCAGCAGGTCGGAAAGTGTCCTTCCTGCCTCGTACTGCCATCCCTTTGAGTCGGGCTAACGGTCGCAGGCATCTGGCTTTGGTACTCCATTTTGGCTATCGGTGACTGTACGAGTTGGAGATTGCAGGAGCCTCATTTAGCTAAAGAAATTAGAGCTCCCCACAGGAACAGAGGAAGTTTGTGATGTGATTAGAGCGTCGCTACAGGAGAAATTTAACCTCAGCTTGTCGTAATACCATTTTAGTCTTTTTTTTTTTTTTTTTTTTCTTCTTCTTTTTTTTTTTCATTGGCATTCATGACAACACTTCTGATTTTTGCTCTCCTGGAATGAAACAGAGAGATGCAGCATAAATTGGGTGATTTGGCAGGTTTTGTCATCACTGATTTCCTCTTTTTAACCCTTTAAAGCCCGATCCAAGAATAAAACAAAACAGAAAATGACTTTTTTTTTGGTTTGAATTCCTTATTTGCCCTTTTAACAAAATATGTAAAAAGAAAACACAGAAATACATTTTTTTTTTTTTTTTTAACTTTATTTTTATTTATTTTTCTTATAACAACATACAAACATGAATACAACCTTCCGACTCATATTGACATTTACCAGTTATATTAAACGTGGCATTGGAAGGTGAGATAGTAAGTATTCTTATCAGGTGTGAGAATGAATACAGGACATCTGAACAAAAACACACAAAAATCGCAAATAATAATAAAATAAAAAAAATAGATAAATGAAAAAGAAAAAAATGGAAGTTTACAGTTAGATCCTCCTAGAGATAATGTGGTCCACATAGTCTTAGGTGTCATGACATTTTAGATTGAACAGGTGCCGGGGGTGATTCACCAATTACATCATTGGATTAGTAGCGGTAAAATCGACTTCCATCTCGTATTAAAAGTAGCTTCTTGGAGCCTTAAGGAATAAGTGATTTTTTCCATCAAATGAATGTCCCATACTTTCCGAATCCATATGTTATATGTTGGAGGTGATGCTTTCAGCCATCTGATAGTTATACATTTCAACGCTGCAGTCAGCAAAATTCTTAGGAGATATCTATCAGCCATTCTGTCTATTCCATCGGGCACAACCCCTAGAATTGCCACCAAGGGGGTTTTTGGAATATTTTTCCTGAAAATTATCTTAAGGGCATCAAAGATATCCCTCCAAAATTCACTTAATTTAGGGCAACACCACAGAATATGAATATGGTTGGCATTCTGTGACCCACAGTTTCTCCAGCATAAATTGGGTTGTGTGGGGTACATTTTACTGGTTATCGCTGGTGTTCTGAAAAAACGGATTATTATTTTCCACTTGAATTCTCTCCATGTATTAGAGTTTGTTGTCAAATGTGCTTCTGTACAGATTTCGTCCCAAGCGTCCTCAGTTATTGAGGCCTGTAATTCACCCTCCCATTTATGTTTTATGTTTATAGAGTCGTGTATATTCATGGAGAGGAACAGGTCATATATTTTACTAATTACTTTATTGTTCCCCTTTCTCCTTTGTATATCCATTAGGAAATTTTCTATAGGTGTGGGTTCGAGAAGTTTAGTCCAGTTGACATGTGCCATCAGAAAGGTTCTAAGTTGTAAATACCTATAGAAATCCGATTTAGGGAGCCCAAATTCATTTTTCAACAGTTCGAAGGTTTTTAGATTTCCTTTATCAATTAGTTGGTGGATATGAGACAGTCCATAGTAAGACCAGTTTTTAAACCCAGAGTCTAAGTTGTTCGGTATGAATGTCTTCATATGTCCTATATTTGATAAAAGTGAAATCTGTTTTGGTAATTTAAAGACTGATTGTATTTTGTTCCATATTTTGAGGGTGTTTCTTGTCCAGATTGACATGTCCTTTGCGGGGACATCTAAGAAGGGTAATGTTTGTATGGGTTTTGAGCTCTTGCTCTTCTCTATTTCCAGCCAGCGAGTATCTGCAGTATCCTGTATCCATGACAATAGGGGTCTGAGTTGTGCCGCCCAATAGTAGAATTTAAAGTTTGGAAGTTTGAGACCGCCTTTAGGTTTGGGTAATTGCAGGGTTTTCAGTCTGATTCTAGGTCTCTTTTTTTGCCAAATAAATCCCGTTAACATTTTATCTAAAGTGTCGAAGGTAGATTTGGGGATCTCTACTGGTAGCATCTGGAATAGATATAGAAATCTTGGTAGGACATTCATACGGATACTTTCCACTCGGCCTAACAGTGAGATAGGCAGTGTATCCCAGCGCTCCAAGTCCTTATTTATGATTCGTAGGAGTTTGCCATAATTTGCCTCATAGAGGTCATTCAAACATAGAGGTATTTGAATTCCTAAGTATTTGATCCCGTTCTTAGGCCACTTAAAACCACTCTGTATCTTTATGGAATCGGGGATTGTGTCGTTTACATCCATAGCTTCCGTTTTATCAATGTTGATTTTGTAACCTGAGTAGAACCCGTATTGGGAGATAAGCTTTTTCAGGTGGGGAATTGTTGATTTAGGGTCTGTCAAATACACTAACACATCATCAGCATATAGTGAAATTTTGTGTATTTCCTTATTGATTTCTATTCCTTTGATATCAATATCATCTCTAATGATTTGGGCTAGCGGCTCGATGCTGATGGCGAATAGGAGGGGTGAGAGTGGGCAACCCTGTCTACAGCCCCTTTCTAATGAGAATCTAGCCGATCTGAAGCCATTAACTTTGACTGCTGCTTGTGGGGATGAGTAGAGTGTTTGCACCCAGTCAATAAAATGTGGGCCAAATCCGAAACGTTTCAATGTATGAATTAAATACTGCCAGGATACTCTGTCAAACGCTTTTTGAGCATCTAAAGAAATGATTGCTGATTCAATCTTTCTTTCTTTTAGGGTGCTTGATAGATTTAATAGGCGCCTCACATTATTAGCATAATGCCGCCCTGTGATAAATCCGGTCTGATCGGGGTGTATGATTTGGGTAATAAATTTATTAAGTCGATTTGCTAGAATTGAGGTGAGTATGCGTGAGTCTGTATTCAGCAGTGATATAGGTCTATAGGATTGGCAGTCTGTAGGGTCTTTGCCCTCTTTGTGGATCACTACAATAGTGGCTTCCGTCCAAGAGGGTGCCATAGTTTTAGAGTTTAAAGCGTGATGGTATGCGTTTAATAGTAGAGGGGTCAAAGGGTCTAGGAAGGTTTTATAGAAGTCGTTTGTAAATCCATCTGGGCCTGGGCTTTTGTTATTCTTTAGTGATTTAATCGTCTGCTTAATTTCCCATTCCTCAATCGGTTGATCTAATGTACGCATCGCCTCATCCGTTAGGTGGTTTAACTTTATATCATTTAAAAAATCTATGAGCTCATGGTCGTTGTTACACGTACCAGTGTTTGTATATAATGATTTGTAAAAATGTGCGAAGGTTTCTGCAATTTCGTCAGGTTTTGTCACCATAGAGTCTTGAGATTTTATTTTATGAACCATGTTGGAGGACTGTTGTTTCCTCAGTCTATATGCCAGTAATCTGCTAGCCTTCTGCCCATATTCATAGTATTTTTGATTAGTAAACCTCAGATTTCCCTCTACTTTATCCGATAATAGGCTATTTAGTTGTCTGCGGGATGCATTTAGCTCCTTCAGGATTTTGATTGAGGTGTATTTTTTATGTTTAAGTTCTAGGTCTTTAATTTTATTCTCTAGATCTTTTTGTTTAGCATTCTTCTGTTTTTTTCTCGCAGCCGTGAAGGATATTATGCGGCCTCGAAGGAATGCTTTGGCACAGTCCCATAATATTAGAGGAGTTGTGTCCGGAGTATTATTGGTTTCTAGGTATATCCTAAGTTCCTCTGTAATAAATGCCGTGAATACTTTGTCGTTAAGGAGGGATGTGTTAAGCCTCCATTGTTTGGATGTTAGTCTATGTCCTATATTCCACTTTAGTGAGATAGGCGCATGATCAGAAATAGTAATGGGTAGTATTTCAATATCTACAATTCTGTGTAGTTCTGACATTGGCGTAAAGAAATAATCGATCCTGGAGTAGGTTGCATGTCTATTTGAATAGAAGGTAAAGTCTTTAGTTCTGGGGAACTTACTTCTCCAGACGTCAGCAATACCCGTCTCTGTAATCTGATGTTTGAGCATCCTACTCATTTTGGAGAGGGGAGTTTTGGGGGTGGGTAATCTGTCTAATATTTGTGATAAAGTGCAGTTGAAGTCTCCACCCATCAGCAGAAGTCCAGAACTGTGTTGTAATATTATCTTAAACAATGATTTTATGAAATCAGGCGCGTCTGTATTGGGTGCATATACGTTAAGCAGCGATACTTTTATGCCATCAATTGTACCATTAACCAATATATATCTCCCCTCTGTGTCCTTATGTAATATAGTTTGTGTAAAGTTGACCTGTCGATGTATGAGAATGACAACACCCTTTTTATTCCCAGATCGGTGGGATGAGTAATAAGCTTTATCTGCCCAGGATTTTTTTAATTTCTCATGCTCTGTATCAGATAGGTGGGTTTCTTGCAAAAAGGCAATATGACAATTAAGTTGTTTTAGTTGAGTCAATATTTTACTTCTCTTGGTTGGGTTATTTAATCCTTTTACATTATAAGATACGATTTTAAGTGGGTCACCCATTAATTCTACTCGGTCTATACATCAACATATCGGGGCATAACAGAAATAGTAACCAGACCTTTATGTATAATATCACCTTATCTATGTGAGATTTAAGGAATGTGTACAACTTGACCACAATATCAAACAGGGAGGAATAAGACATATGTTTGACAACTGTGCCCATCCTTTCTGGATTCGTCAGGTTAGAATAGGCGTGTGATGAAGCAAAACAATAACAGAAACAAAATAAGTTTGCAAAAAGAAATTGTGCACGGTCCCCGGGGAACAGAGTGACCAGAACTGAAGAAACAGAGAACAGATATCTATAGTAAAAGAGTACTTGGGACATAGTCCCCAGCAGCTAATAGTAGCCGCTAAAGTGCACAACAAGATTGAATATGTGTGCAGAAGGGGGGGGGATAAAGTAGCCACGCAAGGTCCACATATACTATGCCAACTCCTGCAAGACTTACCGGGAAAAGGGATCTAAATTAAACAGCTGAATTATTCATTATCTTAAAACCATGAACTTATCAATATAAACCTTATGGGGGAAGTTATATGAACGATAGCCATAGCATTGAGATTTTCCTGATGACATTGTCACTGCCGGTACACGGTACCTTTATTCGGTTGTCTCTGTTGGAATAATATTGTTCCGGACATAATCCATGGCCAATTTGGGGTCGAGGAATTCCTTTTCTTCATTACAGTGTGTGATCCGAAGCCGGGCTGGGAAGAGGAGGCCGTAGCGGGCCTCTTTGATCCCACGTAGCGCCTTTCGCACCTCCGTGAAAGCAGCTCTAGCTTTGGCTACGCTCGTCGTGTAGTCGGGGAAAAAGGAGACACGGTGCCCGTTGTACGAGAGCGGAGCTCTGCTGCGAGCTCTCCTCAGGATCTCCGCCGCGTCTCCGTCGTGATGTAATTTGGCGATGATGACTCTTGGTAGCTCCCGATCTCTAGGTCCTCTCCCGGTGAATGTGCGATGTGAGCGGTCTACCTTTATATCTCGGTCCATCTGTAGCACTTCTTTGATGATTTTTGCCACCGCCTGTGGGGAGCTGGAGCCCGGGCGTTCTTCAATGCCCGCGATGCGGATATTGGATCTTCTCATTCTCCCCTCTAGATCCTCACATTTATCCTTGAGCGTTGACATTTCCTTCTGTAAACTTGTAACAGTAGACTGTAATGAGGTGACTTCGTCTGACCACGTTGATAAGCCACTCTTTAAGTCCAGAACCTCCGTTTTTATGGTATCCACTTCAGCTTGTATTGCCTTTGAATTGCTGGCAATTTCAGAGCGGACCGCTTGCAGTTCGGATTTTATAGCTTGGAAATCATCCGCCAATGCACCTTTAAGTTCGTCTCTTATCACCTTAGCGATATCTCCTCTCAATGACCGTAAAATGTCTGCTTTCAGTTCTTTGCTATTCGTATTTGGCTCACCAGAACCCGTGGGAACCGATGGGTCGGCATCTTCTGTTGTTCGCTGCCTCGGGGTCCTAGCAGGTCTTGTAGCATTAGCGTCGCTTCCGTGTCTGAATTTTTGAAGTTTTTCGGCCATTCCGGATAGTTATGTCCGAACTTTCTAGCTTTTTTATAGTCCCAAGGTTTCCTCTTCAGTATATCCTCAGATATCAGCGTGGTTAAAGCTGTTTTTTCCCTTTTCGTTTGTAATTAAGTCGGGTTTTGCAGGAGCTCTGAGAAATGCGTCCTACACCATATCTTGCTCACCAGCGCCCCCAGAAATACATTTTTGATATTAATAATTTATTACTATGCAATAAGTCAAGATTGTTTTTTTTGTAGTCTTCTGCTCCCTGTTATCAGGTGTATCTGATTGTCTACAATAGGATTTTGAGCAAAGTTTTTACCATTAAATTATGCAAAACGTGTCAGATGCAAAACATTTCAGAAACCTTATGTATCAAATATGATACATTTGGCATTATAGGGTTAAGGTGTTTTCCCATTTCTTTGCCACTTTGTTTTGTCACATGTATGTGAAAACACTTCAGAGTGCTGACTGGTCCCCTATTTATGCCACGTCGCACAAGTAGGCACGTTTTTCTGCAAAATCTCCCAGTCCCCCAATCTGCACACGCTCCCAGAATCTGGCTGTCAGACGGTGAGTGACGCGGACTGTCTCCTCAGACGTTTGCTGACGAGGTGTTGGGCTGGGCTCGATGGTTCATCCCCATTTCCGTGGCCATTTCCTGTTACGGCGGCCTCAACTCCTCAATCATTGCTGCCTCAAGGTCAGTAAGCGAGCTTACACCTTTTCCCACTGACATCAGTAGAAATTAGGGAACCATTTTCCTCTGAAACACCCTTTTTTTTCTCCCCCTGCAGGTTGTTTTTTGTTGGTTCCAGAGAAGGTCACCTGCCCAACATCCTCTGCATGATCCACGTAAAGCGCTACACGCCCATCCCTGCCTTGCTGTTCAATGTGGGTATTTTCCTTTAACCCTTCGAGTGGCGGCTCCATTCCCTCCGCTCAACATACTCACGTGCGTTTGGTCTTTTTTCTAGGGTGCCATGTCGCTGGTTTACCTGAGCGTACCGGACGTCTTCCGGTTAATCAACTACTTCAGTTTCAATTACTGGTTGTTCATCGGCCTGTCGATTGCCAGCCAGATCTACCTTCGCTTCAAAGCGCCCGACATGCACCGACCAGTGAAGGTAACAAATAGTTACACGAAGTGCGTCTCCTCTGTCTACGGTTTTATTCCACTTTATCTATCATTGAAGTACAGTCGTCCAAAGTATCGATACTAAAACGTTGTATCCGGATACGATGCTCATTTTCAAAAGTATCAATGCCACGGCCCCCCCGCATTTATTTACGTTGTTTATGATCATTAAAATGACTTTAGCCTTGAATTGCTAGCTGCGGCTAATGGCTAACAATAACACGCCAACATTAATCAAGTATGTCTGGAAGCCAAGGATGGATATCCAACTCCGCCCACGTCCAAGTTGGCCATTTTGATTACGCCACCAATAGGAAGATCCCTGGCAAGAAAATATTTGTTGCTTCACGGCAATATAGACATACATTTAAAAATAGTGAAATGAATCTTACAAACACTGAATTAAACTCCATACGTAATATTATGTTAAAATAGTGCATGTTAAATAGGTTTGTACAATGAGTCCGAACAAGTTTAACCAAAAAATATTTATTTCTCACAATTATGAAGGGTGAAGGGCTATGACATCATGGTTTCCCTTCTTTGGTAAATAGACCTTAGGTCCTTCTGTTGAGAAAACTAAGAGCAGTGTGATGCAGAAAAAAGCTTCAGGTTCGTCCTGTAAATATTTGAAGTGTGCATT